AGGTTTTAACATAAGATTTTGCACAATAATTATATTCCTATAGGCCTATTAATCGGTGACTATAGAATTCAAAACAATTCAATGCAAACTAAATCATGTTGGATTTATGTGACGAACGTACAGTGAGGTGAGGCGAACGTAGAATGAGGTGTCATCATAGAGATATATACTTAATAGTATATATCTCTATGGGTGTCATAATTTATACTGAATTAAAACAATCAACGTTGAATTTTATTTAGCAAGAGTAATTATTGCGCGCAACACGAATTAAATGAAAATAATAGGGCTTTCTTTAGAATATAGAATTTAAAACAATTCAATTATGCAAACAAAGACAGAGTCCTGTTGGATTTACTATGTGGCGAACATACAGTGAGGTGAGGCGAACGTAGAGTGAGATGAGTGTGTGTGACCATCAGTAACATTTGCCTCATGAATATTTATTAGGCTTCGTGTGACCTTTACTGTGAATTCACTTCCGCCTCACGTCAGAGTCGCCTAAAAAGTGCCTACCGCTCAATATCTCTCTCACTCATGCGTGTATGCAAAACAAATGCGACAGAAGAAATGAAGTAGTATGATCGTGAGTTTCAGTTCTATTCGTCGTTTATTACTTTCAATAAGGTTTGGAAAGCGGCAGAAAGGAGTTCGAGGAGAAGTCTCAAGAAGTCTGTCTAATAAGTCTCTCGATTTTAGATTCCCTGGCTTTATATAGGGAGCTAAATTTCTACTGTTTTGTAGCAGGCCAACCTTCCAGCAAGGACACAACCCGACCTCGAGCTAAAGGGCAGAGTCTGTCCTTAAAGAGAAGGTTGAGTTCTGGGAAGAGGTGAAAAATAATTTGGGAGCATTACTCATTCTTATTATGCAAGTGTGGAAGAACATCAGTTAAGACATGTTCCCTGAAAAGCATGGCTCTTCAAAAGCCTTCATATTCTAAATATGCATGTAACATCGTAAAAATCGGGGGCCGGCTTTTTACGCCACGTGTTCGTGTAGTCCCATATACATCTTTCTGTGCAAGTGTGTGTAACTTTACCAAGACTTGGCCACATTTCTTATCATTTTGATGATTCCAGAACCTTGCAATACACACAAATTCTAATATGCTAGATGATCGACCTTTTCTGGTCGGTTCCACACCGTTTCTTTCACAATGCAATCGCATGACCAGAACTCAACTTCATCTTTAAACTGAGGACAAAGTCTGGCCTCTACTCGGGGTCAGTCGGGGGCCGCACGCGACTGAGTATCTGTCCTTGCCGTTGTGTAAGACGAGGACAGATGACGAGCGTGGCCCTGGGCTTACGCAATCGAAAGAATTACTCGAGGATGAAAAATAACGTCGTAAAACTACTCAACGACTAGTTTGACTTGCACAGCAAGCAACAATATATAGCGAAATAATAATGAACTGTGCCATGATACAGACATAATCTTAATTCGTTACAATATTTACAAGGTAAACGATGGAAAATTTGCTGGAAATTATAAAATATCAATAATTTTCTTCACTTCTTTGACATTGAGTTATTTAATTCCTGAGTTTTTCAGATAACAATTTAAATGATGAAATTATTTCAACGATCAGCTTTTTTGTATTATGCTGCAAATAATAATCGTCCGCGGTAAACTGTGCATACTTTATCAAAAAATTTATCAATATTAGTCTAACTTCTATTTTTTGTAAATTTATATGCCTACCCAATCAACAACATTTCCATATTCATTACTATTTCTTCTTCAAACGTAAAGTTGATTATCCTAGATATACTTTTCCAGTAAATCTTAATCCTTTTACAATATAGAACACAATAGTCTCAATTTCGTTACATGTTTCACATAAAGGTTGTCTCGAGAGAGCAGTATTCTATGGAAGAGTTTAAAATTAAACTGTTTAACCCTGTTATCTTTTATCTTTTTAAACTTAAAATGGAGGATGTCTTTCTATGCAAACAATTATGGCAGGTCTAACCATTCTTGCCAGAACTTGAATGTGAACAGATTTAACACAAATTATTCTAACAACAATAAATAATAATTCCTAGCTTTAGTACAAGTTAGATTTATACATTCTTCGAAAGAGGTTTCAATCTCCTCTGGGTCAAAGAGGTCATCATATAGGCTTTTTGTTATTTACACTCAATTTTTCTAACCAATATTTAGGGAACGCTTTTCTTAATTTGGCTTATTTAAATGCAAACAATAAATTATTAAAATCTAATGAATCACTTAAAACATCTTTCCATTTACCTTTATATATTACTACTATTCCAAAGTATTCAATTTACACATTTTTAACACTCACTTTATCTTTATAACGTAGTTCAGCCCAAGTAGCTAGTAAATTAGTATAAAATATTGGTAAATTTTTCTTTCTAAATGAATGAATCATGTGTTTTTGGATGACAGTTAGACTAAGTTGAATGCGAAATGGATATATAGAACTTAGAAACAATGCATGTGACTGATGTGTTGAGTGTGAGTACTTTATTACGGTCAGATGAACAGAAGGGGGGTTTAACCCCCCCCCCCTGTGTACGCGCCTGATTGTTGTATGTAATGGTCAGCAAATATAAACCTTTCCACTAAATATTTAGGAGCTTGTTTTGAGACAATCTTATACAGTGTACATCATAATTGCTACATTATTTGTTCTATTAGTATTATGTAAGTAACATCATAGAAACATGAAGAATGAACAACAAAGAGACAGTTCTCGGACCTCAAAATGATATTAAACGTTACATTGATGAATGATGAGGATGGTGCATGGAGACAAGCACAAAATAATGAAGGTGAAAAGGTTAGAAAAAGTGAGAAAAATTGCGCAATTGGCAAAGGTTTTGTCGAGCCCTTGTGCAGCCGTAATTAAGTCCATTAATGAAAGTTAAATCGTCAAAACAAACGATATAATCTGGAAAGGTTGTGCTGAAAGTAACATATTTTTTTAGATTTCGTTTATTACATATCGGATAACCTGCTGAGAGGCGGCGCGTTTCATCATGGGATGTGAGACATATATAAAAAGAGAAAAAATATACTCTAAAATGATAACTCTAAATATCATAACATGTTTTGCCGATATTTTCCTATAGTTTTGCTGACCTCAGGTATCATTGTAACGTTTATCGGATTCTTTCGGTAATTTTTTTCTTGAAACTTGATAAGGTTTCACGTACGATGAACCGACTTTTTAGGTTATAATCAAGACATTTCATATTGAGCGATTTAACTTTTGGTATTATCTTGTTCATTAAAGCAAAATACCATTTAAAAAGTCAGATATAAAATATTGTCATGCATTCTTTTGTTGTGGTTCACCCTTATCATATGTAGAGGGCATGCCATCTCATGATCTAAATTGGAATTAGACCTTTTATTTCTTATGGAAGGTTTGCCACAAGACTTTAGTGGGCATCTGCTAAAATTAAGAGGGAAAGGGTTGGTGATCTGGAGGAGAGTATTTCTATTTTTAAACAATCGTGTCCTCAACTTGTTATCATATTTTAATTTGTGACATACCACGAATACTAATCAATCATAATGCAAGTCTAGTTATTGGTATTGCATTGTGTTGTACAGGACGATGTGGAGCTTATCGATAGCCATTCTTGTGTCTTCACTATTTTGTTTACTGCTCAGTCGAATCCTAGAACTTAGAGAGAAATCTTACCATCCCCTGATCAAGATGTTCCATTACCGATATCAAAATCGAGACAGTAGAAGATAAGCAGCACTCATCGCTTGATAAAATGAAACATTTAATTATAAAAACAAATCTTAAACGTATTCTATCGCAAAGACTTTCGATAAATAAACTCAAGTACGTTAATGTAGGCATATTACTTGGCAAGGAAAGATATTCCAATTTCTATTTCAATTCCATCCTCTTCATAGCTCTGCATATACTTTGTTCAATAAATCATTGTGTTTTGAAGTCCATGTTCTTATACTATAATAAAAGCTTATATCTTAACACTGCAATGTCACTACTGCTGTATTTCGTGTTATTTTGTTTACCATCGGTACTTTGTCGTCGTGTTGAATACTATATACGCTTTTTTTTAATTTATCACGCTCCATTCTGTTTGACTGGTGAATTGGAAGTATCTTTCTTTCTTTACTTCTTTGGTATCTTTTGTTATTAAACGACTTCTTAAAGATATGAAAATTTCCATAAATCTGTTAAAAACAAGAAAAGGCCTCACATAATGTTATCAAAACTTCCATAATTTGTTGGAGATAAATTGATTTAACCATTTGAGTTAAAACGTCTTACCAAAGTTTGTACACAAGTTTACATTTTCATAAAACATTTTAATTATATTTACGTAGTAGTAGCAGTAGTATTCATTTCCCGTATAAAAAGAACAACATGAAACAAAGCGAAATATGTACATAATGATACGGCTGGATAGTACTTTTCAGCAATAACAACTTGATATCGCTGGTTTTCACAGGGGTCAGTTAGATTAGATTAGACGTGATTAGAAATATGAATATGTAGTTATGTCTTATCATACGTTTAGTGCTTTTTTGGTGATTAAAATTTGACAAATCTATTTCTTGACTATGCACGGATCGTATATAATCATAGAGAGAAGACGACAGGGTGAATTTAATGATAGTTGCAGGGCACCAGTACAATCTTTGACATAAAGAGTAAACTCTATGAAGGGTAATTAATACTACGGGGAAAGTCATTCATCAGCTACTTCGGTTAAATGGATTATATAATTTTGTACATGGCACAGGACGCAGGAAAGAGCAAATAAACCTAATATCCAACTAAATATCCAGAAAAAGCACCACTGCTGTATGGCGTATGTTTAGTGCGACACAAATCGATGTCAAAATGAAGTTGATCTTTCTTGATCGAAGACATTTTTGGCCAATCAATTTGCGTTTTTATGGCACAGAGTGCTACCAAATGCAGAAACTAGAGAATTAGTAACTATACCCAATCAGGTAACACATGAGGTAGAGTATTATCTTTACGCCATTTTATCCACGATATCGAGAGCCTGCACGTTGCCATTGACCTGTTGATCAGTAGCTGCATCAATATCAACCACACAATTCAAAAAATCAAACCTCTTGGGAAGGTAACCCTTCCTGAAGATGACGTCTGTGGCATACGAGACGACGACCAGCGATACAAAAGATAGGATTGCAGCCATGGTGCGGAACGGGAATAGCTGGCCCAGCTCCTCGTCGTAGTATGGATAGTGGATGAGAGCTGGCATGCCGAGGGCAAATATTCCACCTGCCAGCCGTAGAAAGAGACCGAGGACAAAAGCACAAGCTGAACCGTAGGTATTGGACTTCTTTATGTGAATGACGCAAACGAACTGCGGGAAGAGTACGACGTAGACGAAGTCGGAGCAGAGGACAAAGAGGGTGTAGATGGAATCGACAGTCAACGCCATGACAGTAGCGATGGTTGCAACAAAAATAACCGCAACACGAAGCACCCACATCATTTCCCGCTCAGAGGCCTGCAGATCGAGATACCGGTAGTAAAATTCCTGCTCATAAAGGTTGGACTACCGTGTTCCAAGAAAAACTAATCAGGTCCGTAATTACAATAAATTAAAATGCATTTTTTAAAAGTAAACAAATTGTTCTATAAATCTATCTCTTATATTAAGTGTCATTAAACATGGATATGGTGACGGTTTCCTCCATTGCAGAAAAAAAAGAGAACTAGAATCACAGAGGCCGGGTTCTACATAGATTATGTAAACGCGTCTTTGCGTTTAAGCTTGTTCTAAAGTCGATCTTATATTGGGGTCTCCGTTTTGCAATTGTTTAAACGTGATTTGGACCCGTATTGTGTTCGACTGATTAGAAGGATACGGCTCCGAAAAAGGTTTTTGTTAATGTCATTTTGTAAAAAAGACTATCTTAGAAAGGAGCTATTATCGAATTTATTATTATGTTCAGTTTTTCAGATCAGAAATAGTGACATACCGACTGTCTGAAGATATTCTTGTAGACGTTCCTAGTGAACATCGAACTTGAGGCAAGCACGGACGAATCCGTGGACGACATCACGGCGGCAGAGATGGCCCCGAGTCCAAGGAAAGCGACCACTGGTGGGGTGAGATACTGAATGACGGCTGGGAGAATGATGCCAGGTGTTTCATAGGGGTCAGTCTTGTTGAGGTTAAGGTTGGTCATTGTCCAATCTGAAAGAGATGTTGAATGCAACGACGAGGCATATCGGAAATTTATTGTGTGCTCTTTTGTACATTGTCATGTGATTTATTTTTTATACTCACCCAAGATGCGACATTGCGAATTTTGTTGATATCCTTAACCAAAATCTTAGTACTGCATGCGTCAAATCGTAAATTCCGAAGAGAGAGAGAGAGAGAGAGAGAGAGAGAGAGAGAGAAAGGGAGAGGGGAGAGTGATGGGTGTTGGGGAGAGGGAAAATACCATACACTTAACTATAGTATTGGCTTGTATTTGTTCACAATGGATACTCGGTTGTCACAGCAATGAATACTCCCACGGTCCGACCATATTACTTGCTCGTGAGGACATGGCAATTGGCGGAAAGAGGAAAGAGAATATTCAAGATTTCTTTTGGAAAACCTGAAATACTTTACACAAAGTTATTTAAGCTATACGCATCATTTGCCGGTAACTTTGTCGTCCTTTTTAAATTGGTGTTACATAACGGAAAACTTACCGGTACTGGCGCCCACGGCACCCATGACATATGCCGGGATACTGAGAAAGAAACAGCCAAAGGCTGCATAGAAAGAGAGATAGCGGGCATGGTGAGGGGTCTTGGCTGCTAGAACTCGTTGGAAGTATGCCTGCCAGGGCACTCCTCCCAAGATCTGAATGAAAACAAGAAAGGGTACATGTTAGAGCCAAGAATTATTAAAACGTTTTATTACTGAATATTTCTTTAGTCAGGAAAAGGTACTTTCATGGCATTCAGGTTAGTAAGCTCCGGACGACGCTAGAGTGAAAAGAAAATCTCAAGGGTGCGGATGGCACACATTCAAGCCCAACGTAAAGTACTATGTTTTGAGGCAAGTCGGGCCTCATAAGTAAAATTTTCACCCTGTAACCCCCCTCTGAGCTGAACAAACTAAGAGAAAGTATGATACATAAATCTTATAATATTTGTTATTAGTTAGTTCAATTTTGTACTTTGCATTGACTGAATCATTGGAATTTTTGCATATTAAAACTAAATCATGAACATTATATTATTGTACCATTGTGATTCAGTCTTCGGACTGGTGAGGATTGAATATATTTGATGAAATCATCCAATCCAATCAAGCTACTTAAACCTGTTTTTTAACCATGACAAAATATGTTAAAGCTATCTACGATATCATCTTTATGTTCTTCCAGAGGGCCATGCGATCATATAGCTATCCTACTGTATTAAATAAGCAGATGAAAATGTACTTCAAAACAATTGTACTCCACTTAAATGTTGACATTAATTTACTTACGATCAGCAAACAGCTATCGATCCATTGTCCAGTAAGTCTCGTATCCCACTCTCCGAGCCAGCTACCACTATTCTGTAGTATGGGCGTTACGGCCTTGTTCGTGAGCGCGAAAGGTACACAAAGCCACTGAAAGAAATGAATGCGAGTTGCTCGTCATAACACATTAATGCCATGGGGGGGGGGGGGGGTTAAACCCCCCTCTTTGGTATTTTTCTGTGTGTAAACTCCCCCTCAACCCCCCTAAACCCCCCCCTTTGCATTTTCCCATGCCTGACCTAAAAAAGCTGACCTTATACCCCCCCCCCCCCCCAACGGAGCAAAATGTCAAATTTTCAAATTTCGAGACCAAATTTTTTTTTTTTAAATGTCCTCTTACCCCCACCCCGCTTATTCAGCGGCTGGCTAAGTCGTTGCGAAATTTTATAAATGTTAAACCCCCCCCCCCCCCTTGAAAAAATCCTGCGTACGCGCCTGGTTGGGATACATCAAACAAACGAAAGCTACCCCGAACGATTTTTTAATTATCATCGTTAGCAATGTCAGTTGGGAATGATACTTTAGCTGATTATACTATTGTATTGTATGATACAAGTATAAAACCACTCTTTAACAAAATCTAAGTCTGCACAAATATTTTTCATTAATTTATGTAGTTTTAATTGTTGTGGATGTAGTACTTTTTAGCACCGAACATATTGCATACTGTATGCAAGTTACAATTCATGACTTGATTGGATATAGTACCGTCTGGAACCGAACTGGTTTTTAAATGCCATTTTTGACTTTTTGGGAGAAATTCAGACTTTTGGAAGTGTCAGTGTGTGAGGCTACTACTGGGAATGTGTACACTAATGCAAAACAAAACAAAAATTTTTTTTGGAACAGAGCACTTCAAATGACAAAACATGGTTGACAAGATTTGGATATAATATAAAGCAGCACACATAGGCATATACGCCCCCTATCTACATATTCATACATGTAGTTTAAGAGAAGGGGGATGGGGAAAGAGAGGGGAGAACAGAAGAGTAGATTAGAGAAAAAAGAGAAGAGAAAGGAAGGAAAGGAAGAGAAGAGAAGAGAAGACAAAATAATAGAAGGGAAGGGAAGTGCAGGGAAGGAAGAGAAAAGAAGAAAGAGAAGGGAATGGAAAGGAAGGAAGTGAAGAAAAGAGAAAAGAAGAGAAGAGAATGGAAGGGAAGGGAAGAAAGAGAAAAGAAGAGAAGAGAAGATAATAGTGACAATAAAAATAGGAAATACAAAATAAAGAGATGGGTTACATGTTCAGTGATAATGCCATTATTATCAATCCATTCGAATTGACCCAACCGGGTTCTTAGCTGGCAAATTAGAAAATAAAAATGAATATTTACATTTTTTAATAGAAGCTCATACAAAATGTTAAAAAATTGATATTATCAAATCAAAAACTCATTATGGATTTTTCTGCATATCAGGAAAACCGGGCTAAAACTTTGGACATCAAAATGTGTGCACCTTGTTTAGTAACATTAACAACATAATAGTGTGGGGCATTTGAGTTATAACAATCGGGTACTTATTAACATATGAATTTTCTATCATGACCAATGTTCATTTGCCTATTTTGCGAATTATGTTTATTATGTGGATCTGAAAATATAATTTCATTCACTGACATTAAGGCATCACTTTATACACAAAGACCCTTTAGAGTTGCCACATTATATGCACATTTATTTGGGAGCACTAAATATGAAATTTCTAAAATGACAATAGCTAATGCACATAGTATGTAGATTGTTATACTTTCCACTAATATTGTTCTAACCAACAAAAAACTAAACAATACAAGCCAGTTCATTTATGTTTATAGATCCCTCTACAATTTGTTATTTCTTGGCCATCTTCCAATTGATTTATAATGGGCCATGTTTTATTTGTGTCCTTTATATTATTTTATAGCAAAAAACCAACAACAAACATGTCTAGAATATCCATGTTTTCAGGCGCATGCGCTCTTTATCCATGTGCGGGAGATCTGGGAATAACCACTTTAAAGGTGTAGCCCAGCATAACGTCGAATTAATTTCGACAAATGTAGAAAAAAACTAACGGAATAGTGATTGAAGTAGGAGAATTTAGACAAAAGATTCATGAAGTATAAAATAAGTAGCTCATTTATTTTATAGATCCATACAAAATTTGTCATATCTTGGCCATCTTCTAAATCTTTGTTAATGGTAAATGTTTTGAATTGCTGAATATGAGTTTATTTCACCTTATGCAGTTTTTTTTGTCACGTTTTTTCCTTTCTTGCATGTTTGTCTGTATTGCCAGCCACCTACTATACAATACTTTCATGTAATGTTGCACATTCAGTATCAATATGGCTCAAATGGATGATGAAATTTTTAGATTTTATGAAGACAATATGTACAATTTATGTGACGGTTATGATATCCCTAATGTTAATTGTAATTATCATACAGAAGATCAATTTTTTGAAACAGCACCTAAATATAATCATGCGAACAGTGGCTTAACTCTTCTTCATATAAACATGCGTAGTGTTTGTAAGAATTTTGACAAAATGTTAAGATTCATTGATAATATCAATCTAGGACGTGTAATACTTAGTGTCACTGAGACATGGTTTACGTGTGAAGCCGATAGGAGCCTTTTTTCTATTTCTGGTTTTAATCTTGTTAACAACAATAGACAAGGTAGACGTGGAGGAGGTGTTGCTTTGTATATTCCTTCCCAAGTAGAATACCAGATACATCACGATCTTGATTATAATGTCAGATCATATAGAAACTATCTTTGTTGAGATTGATAACCCTGGTCAAAAGAATCATTTTATAGGAGTTGTATATAAACATGTTAATGTCTTTCTCATTATTGCCCCTAATCACTAAGCCAACAAGAATAACAGAAGTTTCCAGTACTTTAATTGACAATATTTTTTGTAATGTACAACCATATCCACCCTCTGGAATTATAGTATCTGACATGTCTGATCATTTTCCTGTATAATAGTGGAGCATCTGAGCATGAGCAGGCGCGTACGCAGGGGGGTTTGGGGTTAACCCCCCCCCTTGAGTTTTTTTTATGTGTATGTTTTGTGTATGATTTTTGTGAACCCCCCCCCCTTTTGATTTGATTTGATTTTTGTTTTTTTGTAATAAAAAAAAAAAAAAAAAAATTATGCCAATGGCTGACCTAATAAAGGTGACCTTACCCCCCCCCCCAACGGAACAAAATGTCAAATTTTCAAATTTCGAGACCAAAAAAAAAAGTGCCCCCTTGAGTTTTTTTTATGTGTATGTTTTGTGTATGATTTTGTGAAACCCCCCCCCCTTTTGATTTTTTTTTTGTTGTTTTTGTAATAAAAAAAATAAATAAATAAAAAAAAAATTATGCCAATGGCTGACCTAAAAAAGGTGACCTTACCCCCCACCCAACGGAACAAAATGTCAAATTTTCAAATTTCGAGACCAAAAAAAAAAAAGTGTCCTCTTACCCCCCCCCCCCCCCCCCCCCCCCCCACTGGGCGACTTTTCAGCTGGCTTAGTCGGTGCGATTTTTTTTTAGACTCCCCCCCCCCCCAAAAAAAAAAAAAAAATGTCCTCTTTACCCCCTAATTTCCTATATGCAAGTACTTAGCTGAAACTAATTTCCTACTGAACGTGATGAAAGAACGCCTGTGAGTGTAACACTCGGTGGAATGTTTTTACATATGACATACCAAACCGATGAATATACAAACTAGTTGTACAATGTCTGTGTAAGCGACAGAGAAGAGACCACCAAATAGAGTATAAGACACAGCTATACATGCTGAGATGATGACAGAAAGGTTCTGATCCAGCTCCAAGATGACACTGATCGTTGATCCTGAATGACAAATAAACACAATTGGATAGAAGGATGAGTTCTAGCTGGTTAAGGTGAAACAGAATTCTAATTCTTTTTATGTTAGTATGGAAGAATGTTGTAGAAGAATCATTATCCCCTGCAGAGTGTTGCTCTTTACATGCCTACATAATCGAAACTTGAAGCGAAATAGCCTCATGTCTGTGTAGTCCTATAAAGTGCGTCCCAGAAAAAATGAAACCTGGAATTATCAATGTTTTATCATAACTTAATCACAATTATAATCGATAGATGACACATATTTGAAAAAGCTTAGATCCTCATCTTTCATTATTTTGATGCAACTCATTTGATGCATATTTACGCATGAGTGAAAAAGACTTAACGTTTCGTTGACAATCAGCCGTAGACGAAAGACTTCATGCATGGCTGATTGTCAACGAAACTCATGCGTGAAATATGCATCAAATGAGTTGCATCAGGCGCATCAGACTAAGTTATGATAAAACAATTAACGATAATTCTCTGTTTCGTTTTTTCTGGGACGCACCTGTATACACATTTCGGTGTGCAGTGAATGTGACTTTTTAGCAAGACTGAGTCAATAGCTTATAATCTGATGATTTCAAAACCTCACAGTATATATCAATTCTACAACATAATCACCTTTATCAAATGCTGCCAGACAGTTTCTTTCACATTTGATTGATAGAATTAGTTTTGGGTCGTAGGGGCTGTCGTTCTTGTCACTGTTCAATTGACAAGTCATGCTCGATCCTATTGACTGTTAACAAAAAATGTACCTGCGTAGTGCATCTACATTTCCATCACTGAAAACATCACCCTGACCGAACTTTCTTTCAAAGGAGAATGAAAATATGACCATATGTGTGTGGCCAAGTTATGAATAATTACCCCTAGGACCTGCCCTAGGACTTTTAGAGACCGGCAGCACATGCATAGCAAAAGACCGATCTCTGAATAGGATGGCATAGAGAGTGATTTTCATTTGGGGCTAGGTCGTATTGAACACCTGTTATTACTATATGCATATTGGAGAAGTTTTTATCACAATGTGACAATGAATAAAAAATTGATCTCAATAAAAGTAGCGCCGGTCACCAGCGTGTCTCAGATTACAGGATATAATAATATAATATTTCAAAGCATTCTTGAGGAGTATTCGAATATCTACTGGTATATAAATAATATACCAGTAGACATTTACATGAGGAGGGGAGGGGTCTTGACATGCTCCTCAAAAAAAATGTAAAATAATGTTTTTTATATTTTTATATTGGCAAGTGTCCGCTTGAAAAAATGACGCCTGGCTGGAATGCTCCCCATCGCCACGTTTTAGATGTAGGCCCCGCGGAACGTTTTTCAAAGAGGGGGGGGGGGGGGGGGCTAAACTATTTACAATCAGGTCGAGCGTAGCGAGCTTATATAAGTGTGGGGTCCAGTGGCAAAACCCCCGGAGGTTCAAAGGTTTTGGTATTATATTATGGTCAGATGAGCATCAAGGGGGCTGCCTTAGGGGTGAAAGCCCAGGATGCTCGTGGGTTTTAGGCATTTAATTACTTTGAGATGGATGAGCATATTTTGATACTTTTTTTTTTTTTTTGGTCTCGAAATTTGAAAATTTGACATTTGGCTCCGTTGGGGGGGGGGGGGGGTAAAATCACATTTTAGGTCAGCCGTGGGAATATTTTTTTTATTATTATTTTTTTTTAAATATAGGTTTTCCCGCCCAACTTCGTAAACTTAGCATCCGAATTAACATTACGTTCATTCAAGTTCGTGCGAAATTGAATGACTATGTAGATCAACATTCAAATACCTAATTGCGTCATTCAATTTGATTTAGTAGCATGCGATTTCATACTCTTGTCACAGAGACGTGCAAAACGAGCATTTAATTTAGAAAAGCGTGCAAAGAGCATTCAAATTCGCGCCGGACAGACGGTGGTATGTCTTCGTGCATTCAATTTCGTGATTAGGCATTTGTGCATTGCTTTTCATTTGATGTTAATTTGTCACTTAATATACTTCTGTTTGAATAATTTGATGCAAAGTTTACTTAGACGAATGACATGCGTAATCGTTCTGTCATTACACAGGTAACTGTTCCCAGAGAAGGTGCACAATTTTTTGTTCTCTTCTAAGCACAAGCTATATATAAACAGATCTTGGACAGAGGTAGAGCGACATGGTCATGATGGAAACAAAATACAATGATGAATAAAGAAAAAATCACCTACTCAATCAAGATTGATCAAAACAAACCATTAATAATGAAAAATATGAAGATATGAATAAAGTGATGTTTAAACAAAAATAAAGAATGTCGAAAGAAAGAGAAAACATAAAATGCAATATGAATATATCAGATAAATAAGAAGACTGTATAATTTGAAATCATGTCAGAAAAGATCATAGAGGAAAAGAATAAATAAATGAACATGAAATACTGAATATCCGAATGAACATCGAGCCTCATACTATGATTATGAGGTCTAGTTTTAATTTGAATGACCCGATTGCGAAAGAGGTTGCCCATAGACGAAAATGAAACCGCAATTCGCCAAAGAATTCACCTCCCACTCAACATTGGCGAAATTGAATGACCCTTACGCATTTCCAAATTGATTGAACCAAGCTTAAATTTGAATGTGCATGTTTAGAAAATTTGGTGCCTCGAAACGAAATTGAATACAACAAGTTGAAAAATGAAACCGGGGAGCAACGAGTGGAGAAAATTTGCTCGAACATGAATGCACGTTAATGAAATTGATTGCTGCTTTTACGAAATTGGCCGGGAAAACCTATAATTAAAACAAAATACTGTAACTTGAAACTGAAAGGACAGGATATTAAACAAGCCTCCTCTTTTAACTACCTCGGCAGCACGATCACCGAGGATGCCAGATGTGAGACAGAGATCAAGAGAAAGATAGCTCTCGTTAAATCTGCATTTTCAAAGTTAGGCAAAATTCTGGCAAATCGCACAATGGGTATGAGATGAGAGTACTGAATTGTTGCGGGTACAATTTCATTATAAGATAAGTCGATAGATATCGTTTGCACGTTCTTGACCTGCTTAAACGATGTAAAGAATATGCGAACGAAATCTAATGACTTATCTTATGATTAAAAAAATAATGACATTGTCCCCATAAGTGCGGGTCAAAAATATCAAATATTCCTGATTGAGGTGTCACTTTCTAGAAATGTGATTTTCTCTTTGAAATTCAGATACCGTTCGCCAAATGACTTTTGGTACCCTTTCTTCAAATCGTTTTTAATCACTCATGCGTGAAATATGCATCATAATTTATGAGTTGCATTAAATAAAAGAAGAGGATCTAAGCTTTACAAAAATGTGTCATTTATTAATTATAATTGTAATTCAGTTAGGCCTATGATAAACATCGATAATTCTCGGTTTCGTTTTTTCTAGGACGCACTGTACAGAAAGCTGATATGATAAATACAATTAATATTTAAATATATATATATATGATTATAATATATGATTATATTATACAAGAGAATTCATTTTCAATGAACTCTAACATTCAAGCTTCTGCATAGTTTGCAGAATAAGCACTCGTAAATCATCGGAACGGATAGCCTTATATTTTCAGATGCTATAAATACCAATTATCTGATAAACAAAGACATACGTGCATAAGAGACAAAAATCTCCCGTATAGTGGTCAAAAGCTGTATATCAATCGCTCATGAATAAAATGAAAATAAAACACAAGAAACTAAATGCTAAACAAAAGTGAGAAGCGAGACATCTCTTTCCGAATAAGCAGCTTTTCATTAAAAGAAGAAGACTATGAGCTAGTGATCCAAGCAAGCAATAATTTTGACAATACAAGTGCAGCAATGAGGGCATTAGTAAGAATTATCCACACGAGGTACATTTGGAACAGTCTAACACGCCCGAGGCGATAGCCGAGGGTGTTTGGACTGTATTGAAGGTACCGAGTGTGGGTAATTTCACTAATGCCTGAACAAAATGCTGTGTATTATTTGTTTTATAAGATTATGTCTTATTTGTTTTATAAAATGATGTTTTATAACCTGATTTTGATAATGACCGGTCATTACCAAAATTACGCGTTAGGCAAAATAAATGCCTGCATGGTCACGTGTACGCTTTAAACCAATTATTTGATTAGGATCCACGTCATCATCTTATAATGACAACTAATTAAATATTATTATTATTATTATTAATTCCGTAATACGAAATATAAGTAGTGAAAGATTCAATAGACAACATCACTTCCAAAATATGAGGTGGCGGTTGCCCCAACCCCCATCCCCCTATCAGGGAACGGTTCATCTATACTTATTCAGAGATTATGATATCATGAGATGTTATTGACTATTAAAGACCCAGCACAAGGAAAGACATAATAATGGCGCAAAACGTGTGCCCGTGCATGTCTGGCAATCCCAGTACCTACCTAAGGCAGCCAAAATGGCGGCACACCATAGCAGCTCTCCCGTGATAGCGGCTAAAAAGAGAATTCCTCCCATGCGATTTCCGAACTTCTTTTGAAATGGATCGATCATTGTGACGTAATTCGCTGCTCGCATCTGCTTTGCGAAGAAAAGTCCATCTGTGGAGGTAAAATCAGAAAAGTTGAATAAATAAATTTGAATTTTCAGCTATGTGTACCACTGACTGATCTGATGAACTCGTCTTTTCAACAAGGAGTGGTACCTACCCAATGGAAGCAATCTCAAGTAACTCCTACCCCCAAGTCGCAACTAGCAACCATAGTCAATCTTCGACCACATAATAGCCCCAACTAGTAACTTCGCAAAAATGGCAGAATCTTTCAATTGCCAAATGTATTCTGGAGAACATTACAATTCACATTGACTTTAATAATCAAAAGGGCAATCATCCTATTCGTATACTGCCCAGTATTTGATTAAGCTGTCAAATAGTTCTTTCACCTCCCTGCTATAACAGGGTTAAAAGAGTAAATCGTTGTGTGCGATTTCATGCATAGAATTTTCCAGGACGTTTCACATGCTTGATCAGAGCATTACAGTATGTAAACTTATCCAACTTATTGTGAGAGAGTGTATGATAGAATGGATTATCATTAATTTTAGACTTTGACTTGACTTGTCTAATACATTATGTTCAGTAAAAAAATGTTATTAGACTTTTTGTCGAATATAATATAGAGATATCTAACTGTAAAACACTCAAAACAACAAGAAAAAACAAAGATCTTACTAACGACGAAGCTGAAACTGTAGCCCCAGGGAGCTTGGGCCCAAACGAGACCCCACCCTGGGGTAAACACGACTTCTGCTGTTCCATTGATATAGCCTCCTCCGACCCAAGTAGCTGAATATAATTCAATTAAATTCAAATGTTATTGATTAAAATACACTGTTGGTCATAATGGTGGAATATTTATTTTTACCCCAATTTAGGGAAGGATTTAAAAAAATTATTTATCTCTAATAGATCTAGATAATGGCGTACATTCTCAGATTTTATTGAATATTAATTTTCGAGTGTTTGTTTTGCGTGACTGCTTAAGCATATGTGTGCTACTATGCTAATCAGCTAAGGGACCTACGTCCTTAAGTCATAATTGACAGTAATGAGAATTAATGCCTGACAAAAGGGCACTAATATGTAGCTGATCGACACGATTTTAATACTGGGGCCTCACAGTAACGAGGCCATTGCTTAGCCCCTGAATCATGAGTGTACGCAGTGTTTGCTAGGGTACGCGGCCCCTTCCACAAATCCCCCAAAACAAAGAAAATGGTATCAACAGAAAGAGGGTTAAATTTTCTACAACTTTAACGTACAGTCCTTTTTAATACAATATACAGATGAGATGTTATAGTGGATCAAACATAGTAACAATTTAAACTACACGCACTTGAACCAACCCTAAATTAACTTGGCACACAGGAGATTAGTGGCTGGCACAATAGGGATTAGCACTGTGGCACTAAGTGAATTTCATGGGGGCAGCTTAAGAGTTAAGAGATTATTATTATTTTTTTTTTTTGGGGGGGGGGGGGGGGGTCTTCCATTGAGCAGTTTGGGACTGGAATGTATCTGGAAATACCTGCGTTCAAAAGGAACAACTCCAATCGCTTTATATTTATGGGCCTTCAAAATGAGAGGGAGGGGGCATGCGCATGGCTTCACCCAATGATGGATACGCCATTTGACTCCTTTTTCTCTCGATTATTACAACTCACCAATCAGCGTAAAGAGACCTATAAACCAGCCGAAATCCCGGCCTGCCACCATCACTCTCTCTGTGTTATTAGCGCCTTTTGTCTTCCTCGAGGCCCATATTCCCACAGCCAAGATGATCAGATAGAAGAATATCATACCAGCTACCCCACCCCAGTGAACAGCCATTACGATATGCAGAGGTAGATCTTGTGCAGATGTAGTCGAATACTGGAGCAGTGGAGCAGAGCAAAGCTTGATTTTTTGCAATGTATACTCATAAAAAAGAATGAAACGTGGACACTCTTTATTGTTCAAAATTGTCATATAAACCATCGATAAAATATAAAATAATGATAATAAAAGTATATATATATATATATCTATCTCAAATTAAAGACAACATTACTGCTTCATAAACATTTATTACGGTCAATCGATTAATTACCCTTAAATATGTATGCGAAGAATGGAAAAATCCTATTTATGAAGTTTGGATTGGGGTGACGCGAATTCTTTTACCCCTAAAAGGGTGCAGTGTCTAAGAAAAGGTTGAAAAACGCTGTATTTTAATTGGACCACTATGGAAAAACAGCTCTACTGACAAGGGTATTCTACCTATATTTTTATTATGTGAAAATAACTAATATTGTTATTGGCTATATACACTGTCGGTCATAATGGTGGAATGTTTTTTTTTACCCCAATTTATGGAATGATTTTGACCATGTTTTATACGTGACTACTAAAGCATGTGTATGCTACTATCAACCAAGGGACCTAAGTTCTTAAGTCATAACTGACAGTAATGAGGATTAATTCCTCACGAAAGGGGCACTAATATAGCACATCGTCAAAGTTTTGATCTTGGGGCCTCACAGTTACGAGTTCATTGCTTTGCCACTAAATCATGACTGTACCCAGCGGGGGCTAGAGTAGGGGGCAGCCCCCACTTATATAAAAAAAACAAAGAAAATGCAATACATTTTTTAATAATTCATTGCATTTTCCCCCGGTCCCCAACAGAAAAAAATCCTCTGTACGGCCATGCATTATGGTTCAAGGCATGGCCACACAGAGAATGTTTTTCTATTGGGAACCGGTGAAAAAATGCAATGAAAACTGTGTTGTTTATTATGAAGCCATCTTTCGGCTTTCCAGCCTTCGTTGTGGACTGTACACCTATGGAAATGGAACACTAGTAGCATGGGTGTCGATCCCGGGGGGATGGGGGGATATATCCCTCCCAATATTTCAGGTGGGGGGGATGCCCTGTACAATCATCCCCCCCCCCAATAATTCACCATCAAAAAAAAAAAAAAAAAAATGAAGAGAAAAATTAATGATGAGAGCCCGATGAGAGTAGTTAATGGTTATTACTCGCAAGATGACCATCAATATACACATTTTGCTATCTCATTTTCATAATTACATATATACATGTACGAAGTAAATGAGACAACCGTATATGAGACAAGAATAAATTGAATTCTCGCTCATACGGCTTCATCAGGAATTGATGAATTTATTCAATTTGTTCAATCAACAGCATCTTACAAATGCAAAGCCGCAGCGTTAAAAAGCAACAAGCTAAATGTTAAACGCGAAGTGCAAAAGTAGCAATCTGCAATGCACATCAGACAATCCTGGACAGTGTAAACAAAGATGAACTCTGTGACGAATTCGTGATGAGATCGGAGACAAGGAGAACGATTTTCGGACATCAGTATGACTTATAAAATAGTTCACTGGTTGCTATGTTGTTTCCGTTCACCTTTCTTTAAAATTCACGTCATTGTATCTTTGTTTATTTTTTTCATTCATTTTATTTCCTGATATTTCCTAAAACATTTTTCATTTTTGGAGAAAGATTATTATGTCACAACTTATTTTTGTTTCATTTAAAAGCTGATGTAAGCCCATGTCACTAGCGTACTGGTGGAGGGGGGGGGGCAAATAAAATCCAACCATAACTTATTTTCAATTTCATACAAGTGATTTATAAATTTCGTGATATCACATACTTTTCAACAAATTCGCGTTTCTTCATTTCTGTTGCAAACTGACACATTCCCAAATAGCCAGGAAGAGCATATATTTTGTATAGTCACTAATGGGCCTAATTAGTGGCCGTTTCTAATAATTTAATGAAACGTGAAAGCTTTCGCGCTACGCGCGGGATGGGCGAAAATAATTTCAGATGTGGATTAAGAGTAATAATCAAATAAAACGTCAAAGCTACCCCGCTTCGCGCGGGAGGGGGAAAACTGAATTCAGACAAGGACACGATACAACGAATCGTCTTCCTTCTCTAATAATTAAATGAAACAGTAAAGCTTCCGCGCTTTGCGCGGGATGGGCGAAAACGAATACAGACAAGAATTAAGAATAATAATTAAATGAAACGTCAAAGTTTCCGCGCTCTGCGCGGGAGGGCGGGGGGAATTGCACTCAGACCTGGACACGATACAACGAATCGTCTTCTTTCTCTAATAATTTGATGAAACTTAAAAGCTTCCGCGCTTCGCGCAGGATGGGCGAAAATGAATTCAGACAAGGATTAAGCGTAATAATTTATTGAAACGTCAAAGCTTTCACGCTTCGCGCGGGAGGGTAGGGGAAACTGAATTCAGACAAGGATTAAGAGTAGAAAATGGTACATCGAATCGTATTTTTTCTCTAATAATCTAATGAACATCGGAGCTTCCGCGCTACGCGCGGAGGAAGGAGGAAGGGAAACTTGATTGAAACATTAAGGATTAAGAGTCGAGAATGGTACATCGAATCGTCTTCTTTCTTTAATAATCTAATGAAACGTCAGAGCTTCCGCGCTACGCGCGGAGGAAGGGGAACTTGATTCAAACAAGGATTAAGAGTCGAGAATGGTACATCGAATCGTCTTCTTTCTTTAATAATCTAATGAAACGTCAGAGCTTCCGCGCTACGCGCGGAGGAAGAGGAACTTAATTCAAACAAGGATTAAGAGTCGATAACGGTCCAACGAATCCTCTTCTTTCTCTAATAATTTAATGAAACGTCAAAGCTTTCGCGCTTCGCGGGGGAGGGGGAAACTCCTCCCTCCCTGCACCCAACCCCTTGGCTACTAGCTTAGGGAGGGGGTACAACCTGCCACACGCTTCTACCCCTTGGTTGCTTTGATCCATTGCCGAAAATATTTTGGCACCTATCATCCCCCCAACCACGGATACAAATCGACACCCTTGACTAGTAGTACTCAAAATGTTGAAATAAAATAAAATGTAGAGTAAATTATACATACAATAATCCACATAGCAATTCACTGTACAAAATATGATATTCGTGCATTCCTTACCTGTTTTAGTGGAGTTCAGATGTGTTGGCAGTGTTTGCTCGTGTGATATATCATGTGACGTGATCTTGCTTATAAAGGTTTGATTACGGTGCCATCGTCTTTCGCAAGATATCCGTGTGCAAAAGTAGACTAAATTCATATATATATATATATATATACTGGAGCGGATCCGCGTGGGGCCCCCTGGCTTTTTTTTGGTAATAATATTTTTTTTAATAAAGTTGTTTTATATATAATTATATATCTTTTTAGTTAGTGCTCACACTACCCCCCCCCCCCCCCACTGAGCGAAAAAAAACGACCTGCGCGATTTTGAAATTTCTGGAGCAAAAACGAAAACAAAAATTATGCTCACTACCCCCCCCCCCCCCCCCCCCCCAACTGAGCGCAATATTGGCCGGCGCGATTTTTAAATTTCCGTGGGCAAAAACGAAAAAAAAATTATGCTCACTACCCCCCCCCCCCTCACTTTTCACTCTGTATAACCTTATATTCATTACAATTAATTTAGACGTCTTTTCAAAGAATTAATGATATAATGTGACACTTTTAGCATATTTCATATTATGTTCTATTTTTGTCAATTATGTAAATTCTTTTTATTTGTGAAATGTGAAATAAACTTGAAACTTGAAACTTGAAACTTGAAACATTATGTGGTTAATATGATAAAGGAAAAACTAAAATACCTTTTAAATCAAAGAATCGAACAATTACGAACAAACAATTGAGATGGGGTGCTCATGCATGTTTATAGGATGGGGTCAGACGGGTCGCTGGACAACCTTACAGTGAAACCAAATAACAGGATAATACTTAAAAATGTGAAACTAAATATTCAATAATAGTGCCAATAGAATGAAATTCTACCAGTATAACTTGATGGTTTTTGTGTTCACTGTACATTAAACGTTATTGTACCTGATTGATGGTTTGCATTTTATCTCACCAGAGTTAGATTGACATATGTCACTTTCTCCTCATCATAATCGTTAAATACTTGGTCATCGGTTAGGTTTCGTGTATTCAAGTATGAAGTACTGCATGCAACCAGGGTCCCGTATTACAAAGAGTTGATATCAATCGCAACTTATCTGCGATCGATATCAATCGCAAGTATGTACATAAGAGATAGGAGACTGCAAACTTGCGATTGATTGGAGGACTTGTAAGACAGGGCCCAGATTAACATTATTTGCAGAAATTTTACTGACTCAATATTTGTTTTGAATTGCTGTTCGGAAATTCATTCGTATTTACCATCTTCACGATAGGTACTCCAGTGAACAATTATTAAGAAATGTATGTCGATAAAACACTCTCGACGTGCCTCTTTATAGCGAATATTATGAGGTTTACGATATGATTATTTTGGCATTTGGGGTTCTATGGTTTTACATTTGCGGTGGATTTTCACATCTATGCGTTCTGCATAATATAATCGTCTGATATTACCTCACAGTGACACAGTACTACAAGCATGATGTCACGTATATATTTAGGTGGTCTGTTGAAAACAGATCACCTATTGTTTTCGTCAGAATTTTCTTTCTTTATTATTATTTATTATTAGGTGGTCTGTTGAAAACAGATCACCTATTGTTTTCGTCAGAATTTTCTTTATTATTATTATTATTTATTTATTTATTCTTTATTAGGTGGTCTGTTGAAAACAGATCACCTATTGTTTTCGTCAGAATTTTCTTTCTTTATTAGGTGGTCTGTTGAAAACAGATCACCTATTGTTTTCGTCAGAATTTTCTTTATTATTTATTTATTTATTAGGTGGTCTGTTGAAAACAGATCACCTATTGTTTTCGTCAGAATTTTCTTTCTTTATTTCTTTATTTATTTATTTCTTCACTTTTTTGTGGACAAGATAACTCAAGATCAGTTTGATCAATTTCATTCAATTTTGGCACAGTCATAGGTCATTGCCATAAGACGTGACAGGAACATTTTCAAGGTCATCAGGTTATCGTGACGTCATC